ACATTTTATAAAACAAATACTACATACGAGTAATTTTTATGATTAAGAATGATTTGTATTGATCAAGTTAATTAAAAAACTGAACATTTATTAAACAACCTTCTAATTTTATAACGTAAATAAGAATTATTATGTACAAGTATTAAATAAAGAAAAAGTTTCTAATATATGACCAAGATAGGGATAGTTGATAAACATATGACTTATTAACTTTTAGTAAACATAATTAAACATATGAAAATATTAACTTTTTAATTTTTGTTGTAATTTCTACAAAACATATATCAAAATTCCTAACTTTTTATGATTTTTCATATAAGAACAAAATTACATATAGAAAATTTAAAAAAATCTGAAAGTGTATTAAGTAACCTGTTAATTTTCCAGCCTCGATACGGGCTATTCCTTATTAATTAAAGAAATATTTCTCAACATGTGACTAGAATAAGGATATTGGCTAAAAGTATGACTTATTAATTTTTAGTTACTATAATTATGTTTAAAATTATATCAAAGTCACTATAAAAGTTCATAGAGAATTTTATTTTTATTTACAAATATCTATATATTGGAGAGGTTCTTCCTTATAGTTACTTTGATACGGAGTATAAAACTAAAATATAATTTTTTTTGCTAGAAAATGCTTATATTAAATTCAAAAATTAAACAATAAACATCCTATATTCTGACTACCCAAACATTTCCTCTAGACTCCTTATAGCGAATAGGCAACATCACTATCTGATTAGATATAGAATAGACTGCCCAATAATGAGCAAGACTAATCGCTGAACATGGGAGAGATTCAAAGCTATTATGGGCCAAATTAGCCTGTCTGCTTCCTCCCAAACTAAAAACTAAAGCCATAAAACAGAATTTTCTCTCTCATATGTAGTATTTTTAAGTATTAGAAGATAAATTTGCAAACATTTAGTGACTATAATAATAATAATAAACTAGCCCTTATATAATACAAAAAAAGCTTATATGCTCATTTTTCATTTGAAATTATGTACTCCCTCCGTCCCATTAGAAGGTTTCCATTTTCCTTTTTTGGATGTCCCGTTAGAAGGTTGCTATTTCCATTTTAGGAAACAATTAACAATCTTAAGTGACAAATTAATCATTAAATATTAAAAACAATACATTTATAACATCACAGTTATCAATATTAACTACATTATAATATATACCTATTAAAATTATTTCTCAAAATATACTCGAAGTACTTTATTTAATTATTGCCTAAATAACCGTGTCGTTTTGCTGTGGGGACCTTCCAACGGGACGGAGGGAGTAGTACTTTTAGTTACAAGATAAGTCGACTAACAATTGATCGGGAGAATTTTATCTCCCATATATAGTGGTTTTAGGTATACCAGTGGAAAAACGTCAATTAGAGGCGTTTTTCCACTCCGTTTTTCCACTAGACGTAAAAGAAGATAAACTTGCTAATAATAGAGTGGAAGAAGTTTTTCTCTAATATATAGTGTTTCTATGTATGATAAGATAACCTTGCTAACAATTGAGCAGAGAAATTGAGCGGAAAATTTTCTCTCATATGTAGTGCTTTTAGGTATTGAGCGGGAAAACTCTCTCATATGGAGTTCTTTTAAGTATACGATAAGCCGGCTAACAATTGAGCAGAAGAATTTTGTCTCTCATATGTAGTGGTTTTATGTATAAGAAAAAAAAGCTTGCTAATAATTGAACGGGAGAATTTTCTCTCACACATGTAGTGCTTCAATGTATTAGAAGACAAACTTGCTAATAATTGAGCGGACAAATTGAGCGGGAAAATTTTCTCTATCATATGTAATGTTTTTAGGTATTATATTAGAAAATAAAATGGCTAATAATTGAGCGGGAAATCTCTATCTCTCTCATATGTAATGTTTTTAAGTATAAGATATTAGAAGATAAAATGGCTAATAATTGAGCGGGAAATCTCTATCTCTCTCATATGTAATGTTTTTAAGTACTCCCTCCGTTCCTATTTTATCTTCCAAATAGATTTGACACACAATTTAAGATAGTGGGTATTGTGTGGTGGAGAGTTGTGCAGGGGAGAGAGAAATGTGTAAGAAATGTTGTGAACCACAAATTCTTTACTAAAAAGGGAAAGTGGAAGTTTTAATTGGAACGGACGAAAAATGAAAGTTGGAAGTTTTAATAGGAACGGAGGGAGTATAAGATAAGATAAACCGACTAACAATTGAGCGAGATAACTTTATCTCTCATATGTAGTGGTTCTGAGTAACAGAAAATAATAAGCTTCCTAATAATTGAGCGGGAGAATTTTCTCTCACATGTAGTGCTTCTACATATTACGATATAAGTTTGCTAGCAATTGAGCGGAGAAATTGAACAAGATAATTTTCTCTCATATGTAGTGATTTTAGATATATGCAGATAAGAAGACAAACTTGCTAACAATTGAGCGGACAAACTTTCTTTGTGATATGTAGTTTTTTTAATTATGATAATCCAACTAACAATTGAGCAAGAAAATTTTATCTCTGATATGTGCTGCTTTTAGGTATCAATAGATATGCAAGCTAACAATTGAGCGGGAGAATTATCACTCTCATATGTGATACTTTTAAATATAAGAAGATAATCTTGCTAATTATTAAAAAAGAAATATTTATATATTAATTTGTAATTAGATCATGAGTACAGATATATATTGTACTATATATTTCCCGTGAGCATGGACGATACTATACTAGTTCTAGTCTTGAATGGGTAGGGCTTGCCCCATTTGGAAGTGTGGTTAAAGGAGAGCATTAAATTGGAAAGTTAAGGTTGGGGTGCGTTGAACAGAAGATGGTAGTGATGGACGTATGAGGGACAGCGTAACCTCCCGTCCATTCAAAGTCAAGTCATTTTTATATGCATAGCCACCTCTATTTAATTAACATTAATGCTACAAAAATTCACAGAGATTTCCATTCATAAGTGCTAAATTTATGTGATGCTGATCTGACGAGTGCTTATTTTACACGCACATTAAATTGTTTTTGCTAAAAATATTTTTCTTGTTTTAAGAAGAACATTGTATTTTGTACAAATGAAAAAAATTGTATTTTTTTGACAAAATGAAAACGGATTTTTGAAGATAACTGCGTTATTAGACAGCGCAGTATATTTCAGAAAATCATTTGACTGTCTTCTCGATTGAATTTTCAACTGAAATTTGGTAGAGAAAATTATCACGTATATAACTAAAACTGGAAGTACTTCCCTTTCTATGACTAGTTTATTTTTATTCTTAATCTATGACCGCAGACGAGGATCTCCCATGCACATGTGTTTTGACTTTAAATTTAATACCAACACTATCCTCATATACAATTAATGAATTATTTTTTCCTTCCTAAAATTGTGGCGATGCATATCACGTTCTCCGTATCATGATATAGCATAAGAAGCTGATTTGTAATTGTCGTGTGTATAACCGGTGGGTTAATAATTATTTTTGATTGCCCTTTTTTAAGCTTGCTGCGAATTTAGTGACTTTCACCAGTTTGGTTTTGTTTTCCTTCTGAACATTCTTGTTATTGTTATTTATTTCTGAATATCAATTCCCTACGAGCTTTACTAGTTATTTAATGTCCATGTTAATTGTTTAATTCCATATATAGACTGCATACCACTCATTACTTTTGCAAGTTCTATAAGGTTATTCATAAAAACTAACTTATCGCCCATGGCATTGCATGTACATTGCTTTATTTTAAGTTATACTTCCTCCGGTTCTTATTTAAGTTCCCAGTTTGACTTCACACATATTAAGAAAATGAATTTGACTTTACTGTGGAGTGCATTGTTTCGCACTGTTTGGCACTGTTTGGACACTGTTTGGCACTGTTTGGCACTGTTTTGCACTGTTTTGTTTCCTAAAATGGAAGTGTGAATTTAAATAAGGGACATCCCAAAAAGGAAAGTGAGAACTTTAATAAGAACCGGAGGCCTATAGGCATTACTTAATGTAAGAGATTTAGTATTCCAAGCATTAATATAATCTGTAACCGTATCAATCAGAGGAGAGAATTGGGCTACAGATATCTTTAATGGTGCCAATGGGATGCCTAAATATCTAACCGGAAATTGGCCTTGTTGGAAGTCTACCATTTCAAGAATATGAGGAAGTGCATTGGCGACATTCCCCCCCAAGAAAATGTTAGATTTATCGTGGTTTATCATTAGGCCTGAAATTTCCCCAAATTCCCTCAATGTCTCAGCCAAGATCCTAATAGATTTGCAATCCCCTTTTGAAAACAACATCAAGTCATCCGCATATGCTAAATGTGATATCTTTAGTTGGGAGCATAGAGGGTGATATTTGAAGCTAGGATCCGAGGTCCTTAGATCAATCATCCTTGAGAAATACTCCAAACATAACACAAATAATAGTGGAGACATGGGATCCCCTTGTCTAAGTCCCCTCTTTCCTTCAAACCATCCATGGAGGACCCCATTAATACTTATGGAAAATGATGATGTAGTCACACACTCCATTATCCATTTGACAAACATATTAGGGATCCCAAAGTCTCTTAAAACATTTTCTAAAAAACTCCTTTTAAAGTAATGCCTATAGGCCTGTCCATTTTAAAGTGAGAACTTTAATATTAGGGATCCCAAATTCTTTAATGTAACTGTTCATATTAATGCCTATAGGCCTGTCCATTTTTCTGCACTAAACCTTATTACTTCAAAATTCACTAGTATCCTGTTAATGGCATCTTTGATTGTGAAATTTTAATGCTTCAAATTAATCTAAGAATCACATAGTAGTACATCATTAACTTCTAATACACTTAATACTCGATCAATTGATTGTCTTCTAATGTTAATGGCACCTTTTTTTTACTTATTCAAAAGTGAAACGTTTTTAATCATTGTCCTGCAACTTTATACATCCGTTATCAATTTTTTACATAATAATTCAAGCTATATAGGCAGTCCATCTATAAGAAGTGCAATAACATTTATCTACTACAACACATACCAAAACAATAAAATAAAAAAATCAACGTAAAACATAAATTTTCTCAAAAAACCAACATTCAGAATCCAATCTATACTGCAATGTATTATCTCCACTTGTCGTAACTCTTAATACCCAAATCTCAAAATTAAAAAAAAAAACAAAGGCATTAATTTCTTAAGGTTACGCTCCTGTTACACCAAAATGAGCTAGTAGCTCTGTCGTCATCTTGATGCGGTAAGAATTAATATCTTCAGGCCTCACGTACTCCACATCCTTGCTCATCAATAGATACTCGGTCATCTTCATCACAAACATCCCACAACTGTCACTGTTCGGGAATAAATAAAATTATCAATTAAGGACTTAGTAATCAATTATACCAAAACCATCATTGAAAAAATCACATACCTATCATTTTGTTGTGGGCATTCTTTCACCATATGTATCTGCAAGAAGTCATCCCCCATAGGCCCCTCACTTCGCTCATTGTACACTCCTAGCTTATCCATCAGTCTAGATAAAACATTTGCTACCGGGGTTGTGTCCCATGTGTATACCTGATCCAAGCACAAATATGTCTTCATATATACACTTAATAGACTGCCTCCAATAAACATACTATCCTAAACATATTGTCATAACTTATTTCCAAGTCATTCATTCACAAGTCACCAAATAAACATTCTGGCTTAAAGCTACTGTCCTAAATTAATGTCACACTCATTAATCTCCTACTCACAACTCACTACTTGAATTGGTTATATGTTAAATACAGCAAAACTTCATTGATCTTGCACAAAATAATGCCCTGAAGTATTTCCTCTCAAATAATTTAATGCTTTAATCACACTTCCCAAAACATATAAACACTGTCCTACACTCATCTACTTCTAAATTACTGCCAAAATAAAATCACCTTTAGACAACCATACCAACCACCAGTTAACTGCTACAGAAACATACTAATTCACAGACAATTCATTAATTTTTCCACAAATGACCTCACTTTAAAGATATTTTATGCCCTACTATTTCCATCACCAGTTAATGCCCTGTTAACTAAAATTAATGACCTTTCACCAAATAATGCTCTCATTTCCTTTCTTTAGGGAATTGCGAATGGACATTTTTTTAAAGGAAAGTAAATCATGGCATTAGTTGCTGCAGGTTTAATACATTTTCAGTTAACAGGGCATTAAATGGTGATGGAAACAGTTTGCTGGAAACAGTACTGCATTACCTGTATGTTTAAAGTGTGGTGCTTTGTGTAAACCTTAATGCAAACCATATCAACATTGTCCTACTCTCACCTAACCTTCCAAATTACTGCCAAATTAACATCAAAATCACCTTTAACATACTAATGCCCTGTCTTAGTGCTTCACAAAGAATTACTAATTTTTCCACATTTCACCTCATTTTAAAGATACACTTAATGCACTACTTGACTCTAACGTTCATCTTCCTAAAATCATTGTCATACCTACATCTCCCCCATGGAAATAGTGGCCCTATGTATATTTCACACAACGATTTCTTTCCCAAAAAATTATTGCCCATAATGAATGACTATTTCAAAAACCAAATGGAACATCAACCACCCAAAGCAAAAAATATTACACATCCTATTGAAGAACACCTGATATTTCCCTACTTTATTGCCACACCATCAATTATGTCATCAACCAATTAACACAAATACTGTCCACAAAATTATACCACCCATAACCATTGTCCTAACGAATTTATTGCCCTAATTTCAAACAATATGTCTTCCCCAAATTACTGCGCTAACTCAGAGCTTATTTCACAGACCAAAACCATCAACAACCTGTTTCCCAAAAAAATGCCCTAAATCGATGCCTATTTTCACAAGGCAATTCCATCACCAATTTGTTTCCATCAACAATCTGTTTCCCAAACCAAGATTTTTCACAATGCCTATTTCACAAAACCTGCTAAATCCACACATGCTTGTTTTCGAATTGTGTTCAAAGACGGTGAGCTGGAGAAGCATCCCTGCGAATAAATACACTATCAGGAACTCTTTGTAACACACGATCTTTGAACATAAGCTCATTATCACTCTGTAATTCAGTTCCAAGAATCATCAACATTGTATACTTTGCTTTATTGTTCAAATTGTTATCAATTGTTCTTGTATGATCCCTATTTCATTCTTATATTGTTATATACACTATTTTATTCTTGAATAAACAATTTGGCGCCCACCATGGGGCATCATGCAAGAAAGAGATTGATTATGGGCGGAACTAGCAACTCCTTGATGATGGAATTCCACAAGCAGCACGAAACCACGAAGAAAGAAATCTGACGAGAGATGGCTCAAAGAATCGCATGTATCCAAAGGGAGAATGACTTGTTGCGGTCTCAAGTCCGATTGGTGGCGTCCATAGCCTCCAGTTCAAGGATCAACTAGAGAAGCTTTTCCATGACTACGACGAAAAGGTTGGAACTAGGCTTCGTCCATGCTATGACGAAACTACCCTCTAGCACAACGGAACCCATCTCCCCGACTTTGGGCCTCTCATCATCCAACCACCTGCAATCCATGGTAATTTCTCAAGTTATACTTACATACCTCTTGTCCCAAAATCAACACCTACTCTCAACATTCCGACTTGCTTTTTCCTTGAATCGTTGTGAGTTAGACCCTGATCGACAGGCTTATATTTCATCATCCAAAGCCTGTCGAAGTCAACTATCGCCTCAATCCCGTCAGAACCTTTCATCCCCCAATCCAACATCAGGTCCTTTTGAAACCAATGTGCATCAAATTTGTCCTCCTCCGTTAAAAACCCCAGACAAAACATATCAGACAGCTTGTTCTAGAGTTCCAGATCTGAGGATTCCAGGAGGTTATCACTTTGACTGGTCCAAACCAAGTACGACGGAATCCAGAAGTAATAATCATCCTTTCACTAACCCAACCAGAATCTACCCAGGTGGTTAACCCTACGGTATCGATGGCGGGACCACCTCAAGAACACTTGGCGTATCTGGTGGCTATGATACTTGACCATGGTATCTTTGGAGTGTCGTCGCCTTTAGATCTAGCTTCACAGACATGCTATACCGACTCTCCTTTCATTCGACAAATCACGGATGTCGAGATCCCTAGAAAGTTTGTCATTCTATCCATTAACATGTTCGATGGAACCTCAGATCCATTGGAACACGTAGCCCAATACAAACAATGCATGTTGGCCGTTTTGGTTAGACTAAAAGAGCGGGAGGCTTGTATGTGTAAAGCCTTTGGAGCGACATTGATAAGAGCCACTCTGACGTGGTTCGTCAATTTACCAAACGATGGGATCTGTTCGTTTGCGGAACTCGTCAACTTGTTTAATCAGCAATTCGCAAGCAGCAGAATCCTCGAGAAGCAAACCAGTGACTTGTATCGGTTCGTGCAGCCATGAAGTGAATCATTAAGGGACTACTTGCACTATTTCAACAAATAGAAAGTGTCAATTCCAAAATGTGACATTCCTACTGTTGTAGAGGCCTTTCGAAGGGGACTACTTGAAGATTCAGAGTTATATCGAGAATTGACTAAGTACTTGTACCACACTTTTGAAGATGTCTAGGTCAAGACACTGGCTTTTATCCGTCTTGAAGAAGATCAACAATCTCGACAGTGTCATGACAGTTATGATGGGGACATCAAAAGGTCAACTCGTCCAGAAAACATGACTACATAACGGGAAAGCCTTACACAAAAACTAAAGATCGTCCTGTCACTGCAGTAACAAATTGATTAGATGACCATGGCTTGCCCCCGGTTATTCAAGAGTATTGTTTCAACGAAAACACGTCATGACTCATCAACTGATTAGAAAGGTTGGGAGAAAAGGTTCGATGACCCAAGAAGTTGGACAAGACCATCGGATGACGGGATCCAAACAAAAGATGTGATTTTCATGACGATCGACATCGGGCACAATACTGAGGAACGGATCCCTGATTGAAATAATATTAGAACACACCAAATCTCTTCTTCGACAAGATCAGAAATCGACATTCACTGAACAAATTAAAGGCCTCCGTCACCATCAGCACCTTGCAAGATAATTAACGGTGGTTCAGATTTATGCGGGCTAACTTATTCTGCAGCAAAGAGCCACGCTAAGGAATATTCCTAAGAGAAGCCATTGCAGGTTTACAGGATCGCGTCGACATAAGATGACTGAAAAAATGTCCCTGTATCCTTCGACGAGACTGGTATGCCTGAATCGTCATATTCCCACCATGACGCTTTGGTTATATCTATGCGAGTGGTGAACTGTATGATTAGACGAGTTCTCGTAGAAAATGGAAGTACGACAAATATTACTACCCTGAGGATGCTCACCGAAATGAGAATCAAGGAGGACATATAAAACAAAATGGGATCCACACTTGTCGGATTCAACGGCAAACCAAAAATGGCAGTAGATAATATCACTTTACTCGATTATGCGCAGGCTCCTAATATGCAGGTGAAGTTGGATGTGGTCCAAGACTTGCCAGCGTACAACATGATCCTAAGCACTCCTTGTCTTCACCAAATGGGAGCGATAGTGTCAACTTTCCATCAAGTCATTAAATCTTTGACGTCGTGAGGGGTGCAAGCTATCAAGGGAGATAGGGCAGCTGCTAAATCTTATTATTATGTCGCCTTGAAACTGACAGTGAGTCAAACCACATCAGTATAACAACTAAAGGGTGATCCAGATCTGGAAGGTGAAGATAACGAGAAAATTGAGGAAAACGTTATTAATCCTGACCATCCAGAATGGGTCATCCGCATTGGGAAAAAATTCTCGACGGGACTCAAGGACGAACTTATTGAGTTTCTCAAAGAGCACGAGGACTTTTTTTGTTGGATAAGCAATAGAGGTCAAATACCCCGATTGGCTGGCAAGTGTTGTCATGGTGCGCAAGAAGAAGAAAAAGAAAGGTAAAAGGCAAAGTGACGAGTTTGCGTCGACTTCACATATTTGAACAAGAAATGCGCAAAGGACTCATTCCCCATGGCGCATATTGACGTTTTGTCCGACGCAACAGCGGGTCATGAAATGTTGTCTTTTAGGGACGCTTTCGGTGGGTACCACCAAATCCAATTGCATCTTGCCAATCAGGAGAAAACGGGCTTCATCACAAAAACGGGTACTTATTCTTATATTGATGACATGCTCATCAAATAAAACAAGGAAGCCGATCATTTAAACCATTTGACGACTTCGTTCGAAAAGCTGAGGGAGTACAATTTAAAGCTCAATCCGGAAAGATGTGCCTTTGGAGTATCGTCAGAGGAGTTTCTAGGCTACATTGTCAGTGAAAGAGGAATTGAGGCGAGCCCGGAACAGGTCAAAGCGATTCTTGATATTCAGTCACCCCAATCTGCCAAAGACGTTTAGACATTGAGGGACGAGTTGCCGCATTGAAGCGTTTCATATCCAAATCGTCAAATAAATGTCATATATTCTATGAAATCTTGAGGAAGAACAAGAAGTTCGAGTGTATCAAACAACACGAGAAGGCCCTACATGTCACGCCTCGGACCTAGCCGGACACGTCAACAACCCGCTGTACAGTACAAATAGTCAACCACAGTCCAACTCATCCATACTATACAAGGCGTCTTGAATACCATTCACACGTAGTACATCCATAAACAAACATAATGCAAAACATTTATTTAAAGCAGCGGAAACATTTAATATAAGAGTTTATGCCACACTTTGGCAAACATGGGCATACAAGCCCCCAAATAATTATTCAAAAATATATCCATGAGCATTGTTATAATTGTTTTGAAACAGGAATGGAGGAAGCACGAACCGCGTCTTCTCTCCCAGAATTTCCCCGAAGCCACAGACAATGGTAGCAAGCTCAGCTCCTACTTGAAACTGTGAGGTGGCCTCCCCCGTGAAGGGGAGGTCAGTATTTGGAAGCATTTGACAAGTACAATGACAACTATACTAAGTATAATCACTGTTTCAATTTCAAAGACCCTCAATCTAGGGTGATATTATATTATAGGCCATAACCCTCGGTTATCCCCTTTTTAAAAACGTACTTGCTTTATATCAAGTCAAGTAATCGGCCCGTGGGCACATATTCATTTAGAATTCACCATTTTAATTCCCCGTGACTACTAGTCACGCCAACCCCATAGGGTTCCCTAGAGTCCCGATTGTATAGCGAGGGCTCGGCCCAACTACATTTATATACAACCCTTCAACTCAATTTAACACATTTAAATTATATGGCAAGGGCTCGGCCCAACTACGTTTCCATACCAACCACAACTTCGTGGCCAGGGCTCGGCCCAACTACTTTTCCACGAAGATCACAAATACATGGCAAGGGCTCGGCC